AAGGATCTCTTGGTTCCCCCTGAGTGACTCTGCCTGTCCAAAGCCACAGGCCACACCTGCCAGAAGTGGGGAAATCCTAACCAAGCAAGTGAAAGATTTGTGTGACAAAGACACAAATAAATAAAGTGAAAATGGTATCAGAAGTTAGAAAGATCTCCCATGCTCATGGATGAGTAGAACTAACACAGTAAAAATGGCTATGCTACCAAAAGCAATCTACAGATTCAATGCAATCCCCATCAAATTTTCAACATGATTCTTTATAGACCTTGAAAAAACAAGACTCAATTTCATATGTAGAAACAAAATACTCCAGAAAGCTAAAATAATTGTGAATGATAAAAGAACTTCTGGAGGTATCACCATCCCTAGTTTCAAGATGTACTACAGAGCTATAGTAATAAAAAATACATGCTATTGACATAAAATTAGATATGTTGATCAATGGAATTGAATTAAAGACCCAGATATAAATCCATATGGACATCTGATTTTTGATAATGAAGCCATAAATATACAATGGAAAAAGAAAGTATCTTTAACAAATGGTGCTTGTCTAACTAGAGGTTTTCACGTAGAAGAATGCAAATAGATCCATGTTTGTTACTCTGCACCAAACTCAAGTCTAAGTGATCACAGACCCCAACAGAAAACCAGACACAATGAGTCTGATAGAAGAGAAAGAGGGGAATAGCCTTGAACACATTGGCACAGGAAACAACTTCCTAAACAGAACACCAATAGCATAGGCACTAAGATCAATAATAAATAAATGGGAGCTCATGAAATTGAAAAGCTTCTGAAAGACAAAGGATACCATCAATAGGACAAAATGGCAGCCTACAGAATGGGAAACAATTTTCACCAACCCCACATCTTACAGAGGGCTAATTTCCAAAATACATAAGGAACTCAGGAAAGTAGACATCAAAAAACAAATAATACATTATAAAATGGGGTACAAATCTAAACAGAGAATTCTCAACAGAAGAATCTCAAATGGCCAAGATACACTTAAAGAAATGCTCATCATCCTTAGCCTTCAGGAAAATACAAATCAAAACAACCCTGAGATTCCATCTTACACACGTCAGAATGGCTAAGATAAAAAACACAAGTGACAGCTTATGCTGGTGAGGATGTGGAGCAAGGGGAACACTTCTCCATTGCTGGTGGAAGTGCAAACTCGTACAGCAATTGGGAATCAGTATAGTGGTTCCTCAGAAAATTGGGAATTGATCTACCTCAAGACCCAGCTATACCACTCTTGGGCATACACCCAAAGGATGGTCAATCATATCACAAGGCTAACGGGGGGGCCTGAACCCATGACCCTGAGATTAAGAGTCTTATGCTCTAGCTGGGTGCCAGGTAAAGTGAGAAATCCACAGGAGTCTGCTTAAGGAGTATTGGGGGATTTATTAGGATATAAAATGGGGAAATACACTCATGAATACAGAACCAAGTAAACAGCTGAAATCGTCCTCCATTCTGACCGGGAGTGAATCCACCTGGCAGTTCGTTCACATCAGGAATCAGGAACCAGGGAGAAGGTACCTCATGACTCCTCTCCCTTTCATTTTAGGAGGTCAGTTATGATAACAAGAAGCACTGCCTCCTTCGGGCCATATAGCCCAAAATCATGGCAGAGCAAATACCACTATAGAATAGGTTGGCTTCAAAAGCTTTAACTTTCCTTACTGGATAATGCAGAGCCTTAACACATATATCCAAGGGCTTTCTAAACTCTTTACTTTTGGCTTTGGGTATTTCCCTCTGTTGAATTAAGCAGTGAGAATCTTACAAAGGTTAAAAAATAGCTTTGATTAAGTGATACCTTTGAGTGGTTTAACACAGAGATTGAATACTAGGGAATTTGGGTTTGGTTATGAACTTAAGCTCTATGATGTTGGGTGAATATGAGTATTGAGATGGGGTGAATATCAGAGATACCTTTAGCTCCCAAGAAGGGCTTGTATGTATTTTATCCATTTTCACAGCCTTCCCTGCAAGCACCTTCTTGCCTGGCATTTCTTTTAACTTCCCAAGCTGTAGAAGCCCTGAAAATCTAGGGGGCTGAGGATGTAGCTTAGTTGGTAGAGTACCCAGCCAACATTCATAAATCCCTAGTACCTCATGTACTGGCTGTGCTGGTGTATGCCTATGATTCTAGCACTTGGGGGATGGAGGTAAAAAGATCAGAAAATCAAGGCCTTTCTCTGCTATATAGTAAGTTCCAAGACAGCTTGAGACATATGATACCTTCTCTCAAATTAAAAAAGGAGTCTGAGGATGTATCTTGGGGTGTATATACCAAGTTACTAAAATAACTGGCCTTGCATCCAGAAAAAAAAGGCAATTATAGCTTTTCTATTTGAATTCTTCCAACATCTGCCTGGTTCTTAGACCCAGGCTCAGAACATTCTTTTGCATGCTTAGCAAGGAATATATGAACAAAATGTTGGGAAACCAATACCAGCTTTCTGTAAAGTTCATCTCTCTTGCCCAGTCTTACCCTCCTAAAATCCAGGGTCCTTTGGATGTTTATGGTTGTCTCAATGCAAGCCCTCACTGTTTGTGAAGGATGATCAAACACTTCGTTTACCTAGCATAGCTTCAGTTTGCTTGTGAAATTTAGCGTATTCATCTTTGATTTTCTGTACCTTGGCTGCCATATAAGATGGCAATCAGCTAATCTGATATGTCAGTTTATTGTTACTGCTGTTAATAACAGAGATGTCTCATATATTATAAATCTGTTGTCTTTATGCTTGTAGATGGACCTTTCCCTTTCCTACATTAGTACTAGCTCACTAAATGGAGAGGGGTACTCACTAATGACCTATGAGTGTCTTATTCCACTCAGACTGACAATCAAAATGAATCATCCTGGATAAGGATCTATCATCATGCTTAGCATATAGTGACATCTCAGCATCATAAAAGCTTTATAATGCTAGGGGTAACTATGCCCTAGTGATCCTGGACAAGATGATGCCCAGATAGTCATCATTATGTCCCATCAGTGAACTTTCTCTGTTCTTCCTGCTTGGAAGTGGCCTGAGAAATGTGCAGATGCTGAACTTCCAAGAGGGTATTTTCAGTTCTTTGACATTACTTGATCTTTTATATGACATCTTATGAAAAAAAATTTCAATTAAAATGTATACCTATAGAAAATTCATAAATTGGAAATTCAAAAATAATACAAAATTGTATCTCAACAGCTAAAGAAAAATTACAATGAACATTTTAATGTTTCCTTGGAGTCCTTTTTTCTATGCTAGCATATTTCTATGCTAGCCACCAAACAGTGGCATAAATGACACTAATTTGACATAATAGATTAACTATGGGACTTTACAACGAAATTTGTTTAAACTTTTATGTATTTAACAACATTTTGTCAAATATTTAGCTTTTTTATTTTCTAAAACTTAAAAAATGCATTCAAGTCTACTTGTTACCATTGCTGTTCACTCGGGATTGAGGAACCAGTCATTGAAGAACTTCCAAGTTTGCTCTAAGGAGTTTGGAATTATTGTAATTGGGATGAAAACACAGTGAAGGGCTTAAGGCAGAGACTGACAGAATCTGGAATTTTAGCAAGTAATGAAGGCAAAGCATGCATGATGGGGACAGATTCTATGGAGGATGGAGATTTCTGTCTCTTTGGTCAAATGCTCTGTGAGGATTGAAGCTAAGGTTGGAGGCACTGGATGTACAGAGAAGTGGGTGGGGCTGAGTGGTGCTTCCAGGACAGATGGGCAGGATTAGATCATGGACCAGAGATGGACTTGAATGAGTGAAAATGGCAAGAAGTCATAAGGTCCTGTTTGTCTCATGGTGGATGGGGATGCCTTGTGTAAGATGGGAAGCGCAGAAGAGGGTGACAGTCACAGGAAAAGATCAGGAGTTCATCTGGGGACGTGACGTGTTTCCAGATTGTTCTCCTACTTTAGATTAAAAACCACCCTCTGTCTTCACAGGGGCGGACCTGTGTAAAGGTCATGCTCTACTGGATATAGTTGAGAAATGTGGGACTAAATGAATTTTCAGTGCAATTTTAATGGCTAGTGGTAGAAAAATGTTAGGAAACACTCTAGTGAGATTCTCTTTGTTTTTAAATTGTTAAAACTCAGTTTTAAACATGCTTCATTAGTTTTGTTTCATGTGTCAGCAGCTCAAGAATGCCCCAGGCACAGCTGGCTCTTCAAATGCCCAGAATGTGCTGCACTCTCCTTCTGTTCATGTCTGCTACACTCTGTCTCTTCTGCATTGCCCCATTCTCATGCTCTCCTTTCCTATTGTCAAAACTAACTTTCAGCATCAGGTTAACAAGGTCCTCAGAGCTCACAGTCTCATGGGAGTGCAAGCGAAACAAGCCACATCTCCGGTGCCCCTATTTCCAATCACCGTAAAATTGGAGTCTTTGGACTGAACAGACTGAATATTGCCTTCATTCCTGGTAGGACATGCTTGTCCTCCTAGGATAACTGTATTCCCAGAAGGGAGGGGGAGATCAAAACTAGTCAGTGACAAGAAGCAATGGCTTTTGATAAGTAAAGCATTCCCCAGGCGAATCCCCAGGCCCACAGAGAGGAGGCAGGGATGCCAGACCAGAAGAACCACGTGTCTGTTTTCTGGGATGCCACTTCTGGGATGCCTGGGAGAGTGGTCTTGAGCCTCTCGGGGGTGGGGGGGTGGGGGGGTGGGGGGAGGAGCTGTGTTTGGCTGGCTTTGAAGGGACGAATTTGGAGAGGAGCTAAGGAGGGGAGCCAAGGTGGATCTTCCACCAGACTCCTTCCAAAAAGCTTTGTTTTCATAACTGTTACCAATAGTTCTTCTTTTGGAAAGAATTTTATGGCCAGGCTCATGTAGTAAAGGGAGGTTGTGACATGGCCTTCTCTTCTCTCTGTATGAAGCTTAGATTTCTGTTGGTTACAATAGAAGACATGTGACCTCATAATCCAGAGGTGACATCAAGTAGTCATATGTTTGAAAGGACAATGGAAGAAAAGAATTCTTGAGAGACAAGATAATAAAGCTCAGGTGGGTAAGTTGGGGAGGTAGATTGAAGAATAAGAGTAGAGAAAGTTCAGAATTCTTGGGGCTAGGTAATGAGCACCCAGCAGTTCGTGGGAGCTACTCTATCTTATTTGTCTATAATTGGATTTTCATAAATAAAGGATATAAGTGGGTAGCATTAATGAATAATAAGAATACTATATCATTATAAAAGAAATCTAGAAATTATTGTTTTATATGTCAATGCATTGTTCTCATTGTGCTCTTGGGTTGATATGGAGGTCAGTGAGGCCTGCAGTGAGTTAATCCATTTCAGCCCCTGATTAACCAATTATCTGAGTAAAGCTCTAAAAAACGAGTTTTCAAACCTAAACATCATCTTTTATTATTTTTAGCAGATATCACTGGACAAATGTCCTGTGGTAGGTTTGTCTGTAGTTTGGTTAGAATTTTGACCCAATAAATTTCCTCTTTTTTAAAAAAGACAAAATTTCTAATAGAATGTGCTATGCTGTTTGCTTTAATAGCTGAGCACATAGATTTCACTTCTTAAAATATGAGATTAGTTGCAATTAGGGATGAAAAAGAGCAAGAAAATAAGTAAAACTAGTCATTCTCATTAATATAGTGGTTAGTATCCCTGCCTGTCACATGGGAGACCCGGGTTCGATTCCTCGATGAGGAGATATGCCATCCTTTTGGGCTGTAAAGATGGCTCAGAGGTTAAGAGCTTGTGCTGCTCTTTCAGAGGCCCTAAGTTCAAGTCCCAGCACCCACATGCTGGGTTCACAACCATCTATTATGAGATCCGGTGCCCTCTTCTGGCCTGCATGCATAAGGACCGACAGAACATTATATACATAATAAACAAACAAACAAACAAATAAATAAATAAAGCTAAGTCGCAAACCAAGGATGAGTGTGTTCTCTTACACTCTATGTAGTTCTAGGGCCCAGAGCATTTTGCTTCAGGCTCTTGAGAGCATTTGCCTTTTAATCTACTCCAACTGGTCCTTATCAATGGTCAGTAACAGTGAGAAACTGAATAAAGTATCCATGGCTCTTGACCTTGGCTTATAGAATTTGGGCAAATAAGTTTCCAAGGTGTCAACTAAGAATAATCTAAGTTTCTGTCTGACTTTACGCACTAACTTTATGCCTTACACAGTTATAATTTTAAACAGTATTCAGAAGTCATACACAGGTTTTCTGTGATGAGTTTTTTTGTTTTTGTTATGATAAGAATGACTTAAGTAATATGAGTTATACCATTATATTTCAGATTTAATAAGCTCAGAGTGTCTTTACATTTTCATTCTGCATGTCACTGCACTAACTCAACTATAGTATATAAATATATATGTGCATAAAAGAAAATCCACATGGTAAAGTAGTGCTTAGAATGTTATAAACATGTTACCTCTTTGTCTGAACCCTTTTCTCTCATGTATCCTGGGATCTGACATCATTTGAATAATACTCATTTGCAAGAGAAAAACCATTATGAAACTGAGTATCAAGAGTGATTGCTTTATCTGCCTGTGCTTATATGAACCAAAGGAGAAAAGAAAAATCAAGAAATGCCCTCTGAGTCTCAGCCAGATGGCTGCTCATCATACTCATTCTTGCTTCCTCCACATTGATTGGAAACAGCACCAGAGAGGAATAGCATCTGAGATGTGTGTCATTACTGTCCAGTTTCCTTTGTCCTTGGCTTCCATTTGGGAATTGATAGGGTTTGTATGCCCAGAGGGATGTCTAAGCACTCGGCTCAGATTTTTTTTCATATACCAAAGTAAACGAATAAAAAATGTTCTAGCCAATTCTACTGAATAAGAATGCTCAGGACAGTCATGTGGGATGGAGCCACACAATGGGCATGTGGTAAATGTTCCTACATCAGTGTATTTGCTTCTGGGCTACATTTGGTAACAACCCCAAGTCCTTTTCAACTTAGCAATTTCAATGTCTTCCATTAAACTCTCTATGTTCATCTCCTTTGTTTGTCAGACCATCTGTGTTCAGGAATTTTTAATCACAAAATTTGTAAATATCTTTACTAAACTGAAAAAACCATTGTTTTCCACTAATTAAAGAAATCTCCAAATCCCACAGAATAAGTGCAAAACCAAAAAGAAAAAAGTGTATTTATTCCCTGGGACTTATATTGATAGGTGAATTGAGGGCACGTATTTTTGGAATATTATTGATTCTCACCAGTTTTGTAGACACACAATTTGATCTAGAGTTATTTAAAGAGACTGTGGTAAATCTTGTTCCAAGAATTTTAAGGTTTTTTTTCCTTTTTTAAAAAAAAAAATTGAACATTTATTTATTTTATATCCCAGCTGCAATTTCCCCTCCCTCTCCTCCCATTCCCTTCTCCCACCTCCCCTCCAACCATTGCCCTCAATGCAGTCCTCTTCTCTTTCTCTTCAAAAAGGGGCAGATCTCCCATGGATATCAACAAAACATGGCATATCAAGTTGCAGTAAGACTAAGCACTTTACCTTGTATTATGGCTGGGCAAGACAACCCAGTATGAAAAATAAGTTTCCAAAAGCAAGCCAAAGAGTTAAAGAAAGCCCCTGCTTTCAATGTTAGGAGTTCCACAAGTAGATCAAGGTACAGAACTGTCACATATATGTAAAGGGCCTAGGTCAGACCCATGCAGGCTCCCTGGCTGTCTGTTCAGAATCTGTGAGACCCTATGAGCCCAGGTTAGTTCATTCTGTGGATTCTCTTGTGGTGTCCTTGAACCATCTGGCTTCTACAATCCTTCCTGCCTCTCTTCAGTGGGATTCCCCAAGGTCTGCTTAATGTTTGGCTGTAGGTCTCTGCATCTGTTTCCTTCAGTTACTGCATGAAGGCTCTCTGATGACAACTGATGTAGGCACCAATCTATGATTATAACAGAATATCATTAGGCATCATTACATTGGCTCTTTTTTCCTCCAGTCCTGTTTGGATCTGTCCTAGGTCTCTGGGCCATCCAGCCTCTGGGTCCTCACACTCCAGGCATGAATCTCAGGCTGGACCAGTCCCTGGTTGGCCACTCCTACAATTTCTGTGCCACTCTTATCCTAGTACATCCCATAGGCAGGAAAGCCTGTAGGCCAACAGTTGTGTGTCTGGGTTGATGCTGGGCAATGTCGTTCTGTATGCTGTGAATGTGTGTTGCTCTGATTGGTTGATAAATAAAATACTGATTGGCCAGTAGCGAGGTAGGAAGTAAAGGCAGAATAATCAGATAAGAAGAATTCTGGGAAGAGAAAGGCTGAGTCAGGAGTCACCAGCCAGACACAAAGGAAGCAAGATGACAAGGCAGAACTGAGAAAAGGTACCAAGCCATGTGGCTAAACATAGATAAGAATTATGGGTTAATTTAAATGTAAGAGTTAGTCGGTAATAAGCCTGAGCTAATGGCCAAGCAGTTATAATTAATATAAGTCTCTGTGTGTTTACTTGGGGGATGTGACCTGACCGCTGGCTGGCTGGGACACAGGAAAACTTCCAATTACAGGTTGGTGTCCCAATACCTCCACTGTAAGTCTTTCCTGGTCACAGGAGATGGCCAGCTCAGGATATTTATCCACTATTGCTAGGAATTTTAGCTGGGGTCATCCTTGTAGATCCAGTCATCTCTTTCAGTACTCTCCCCCTCCACCCACTCCTCAACCCGATTCCTCATGTTCCCATCGCCACCCACCTCCAGTCCACCCACAAGATCTCTTCTATTTCACTTTTCAGGGAGATCCATGTGTTACCTCTTGTGCCTTCCTTGTTACCTAGGCTCTCTGGGTCTATGAATTGTAGCACAGTTATCCTCTATTTTACATCTAATATCCATGAATAAGCAGGTACATACCATGTTTTTCTTTCTTGGTCTGGGTTACCTCACTCAGGATGATTTTTTTCTAGGTCTGTCCATTTGTTTTCAAATTTTATGATGTCATAAGTTTATAATAGCTGAGTAATACTCCATTGTGTAAAATGTACCACATTTTTAAAATCCATTCTTCAGCTGAGGGGCATCTAGGTGGTTTCCAGTTTCTGACTATTATGAATAAAATTGCTATGAACATAGCTGATCAAGTGTCCTTGTGGTATGATTGATCCTTTGGGTATATGCCAAAGAGTAGTATAGCTTGGTCTTAAGGTAGATGGATTCCCAATTTTCTGAGAAACCACCATATTGATTTTCAAAGTGGCTGTACAAGTTTGCACTCCCACCAGTAATAGAGGAGTATTCTATTTTGTTCTATTGACAGTGTCCTTTGCCTTATAGAAGCTTTTCAGTTTCATGAGGTCCCATTTATTAATTATTGATCTTAGCATCTGTGCTACTGGTTTTCTATTCAGGAAGTTGTCTCCTGTGCCAAAGCATTCAAGATATACTTTCTCTTCTATCAGGTTCAGTGTATCTGGATTTATGTTGAGGTCTTTGATCTACTTAGACTTGAGTTTTGTGCAGGATGATAGATATGGATCTGTTTGCATTCTTCTAAATGCTGACATCCATTGATCCACCTATCTGTTTTTATACCAATACCATGTGGTTCTTATTACTATTGCTCTGTAATAGAGCTTGAAATCAGGGATAGTGATACCTCCAGAAGTTCTTTTATTGACAGGATTGCTTTAGATATCATGGGTTTTTGCATATGAAGTTGAGTATTGTTCTTTCAAGGTCTGTAAAGAATTGTGATGAAATTTTGATGGGGGGTTTCATTGAATCTGTATATTACTTTTGTTAAGATGGCTGTTTTTACTGTATTAAACATACCAATCTAAGTATGGAAGATTGATCTTTCCATCTTTTGATATCTTCTACAATTTCTTTCTTCAAATACTTAAAGTTATTGCCATACAAGTCTTTCACTTGCATGGCTCAAGTTATTTCAAGATATTTTATATTATTTGAGGCTATTGTGAAGGATGTTGTTTCCCTGAGGGCTTTTTTTGTTTTTTGTTTTTTTAGTTAATCTTGTATCCAGCCACTTCACTAAAGGTGTTTAGCAGCTATAGGAGTTCCCTGGTAGATTTTTTTGAGATCTCTTATGTGTACTATCATATCATCTGTAAGCAATGACATTTTGACATCTTTCTTTCCAATTTGTATCACCTTGATCTCCTTTAGTTGTCTTATTGCACTACCCAGAACTTCAGGTACTATATTGAATAGATATGGAGAGAGTTGACAGTCTATTCCTTGCAAGTACAATTTAAATATGAGAAAATATGATATACTCCCTGATCTTGCATTATTTATATGCTGTATGGCAATATGAATCACCAAGCAATTATAATTAGGATTTTGTGATGGGGAAAATGGGTTGAGAAATTTTATTGTTTAAGAATACAATAATGAAAAAATTCTATATAATGGAAACTCGAAGTCTTGTCTACAGAACCAATGTTTAAAAAGATAATGGGGAAAGATGATTGGGGAGATGGTTGAGAATCTGGAAGAAGAATAACATATGATTTTGAGGAATTATAAAGGGATATGATTATCTAAGTTCTTGCAAGGAAGCTGGATAGGTGTATGAGGCATAGTCAATCCAGTCAGCAAAGTGAGAAACAATCACAAGAGCCTTGCCCTATCCAAATAGAACAGCGACCTCCACAGCCTGAGGTGGAGATAAAGGCATGTGGAAGTTTATACACACAGGTTTGGAAGACCAGACTATGTGCATCTCCTCCCAATTCTGAAGTCAGTTACATCACATAAAATGACACAGGCATGGTACAAGTATTTCTAGCATTTAACTGGTGAATGCTGCAGATCTGAGCTTCTCTCTATATTTATCAATATATCACTGGTCAGAGACGAAGGATGATGAGCAGGAGTAGGCCATGGTAGGGGATGAAGAGGTGATTTTCATTTGCTCAGTAACTGATTCAGCTCTAAGTTTAGTTCCAGCTCTCTGTTCACCTCCCATGATTTACTGACAATAATAGCAATGATACTAATACAAACTAATCATCAGTGTCTAGTTATTATGCTAGCAGTATGATAGATAGTTTTCCTAACCAGCTCATGTCATTTTCACACTTAAATATTACACAGAATAATTCTGAGATCAAGTTTCAATGACTGCTAAGGATCAACAATGGGTAAGCAGACTCATGGCTTTCTTAGACATTCAAGTTCTTTGTATTAAGTTTCTTCTCTCCCTTGTTTTACATGACAGTGTTTTATTTTTTATTCTTTTTTTTGTTTTTATTTATTTATTATTATTTTTTTATTTTACAATACTATTCAGTTCTACATAACAGCCACAGATTCCCTTGTTCTTCCCCTTCCTGCCCCCCTCCCCTTCCCCCCAGCCCACTCCCCATTCCCACCACCTCCAGATCAAATATTCTACCTTTTAAGATTTAAAAATGCCATTGCCATTCAGAGGCCAAAATACCAGAATTGGCAAAAATCAAACAAGAGGAGTTTTGTAAAACTGTAAAATAACACACAATGGTTTGAAAAATAACTGTACCCCACCCCCTAAAATTCACATATAGAAGCTGAAGGCTAATGTGATGGGATTGAGTTGAAATGTTCGGAGAAGTAATCAGGCTATGAAAGCTTCTCTCACAAATAGGAGGAGATGATACATGACTTACTTTTGTATGGCTATGACAGCAAGAACCTAGCGGAGGGAGGAGGATTTTGTTTCACAGCTTCAGAGGGCTCAGTCTGTGCCCACGTGGCTTTGTGTTTCTAGGTCTTTTGTAAAAACATCATGGTAAAAGGAAAATGTGTGGGAAGAGGATGTTGACCTCAGGATAGGCAAGAAGCAAGAATACAGAAGGGAATGGTGGCTAGCTAGGCATTTCCTTCAAAGGCACAATCCCAACAGCTGCCTCTTCTAATAGGCTCACCTCAGAAGTCTTCAGAACCTCTACAAACAGAATCATCATCTGGGAACCAAACATTCAACACATGAGACTATGGGGGACATTTGACACTTAAATCATAGCGGACACCCCATGGAAAGGGCTCAAGGGAGCTAATGAGCCATTTTCCTCTATTGCTTCCGATGAAGGCTCAGATTCTTCCCCTCCAGAGGACGCAATTACAAGGAGCCATCTTGGAAGTAGCAGCTAAGTTCTCACCAGACACTGAAGCTGCCAACAACTTGATCTTGAGCTTCCAGCTTCTAGAGCCGAGAGAAAGTACACTTGTCTCATGTATAAATACAGCAACCAAGATACCGCTGAGCTCATGAGACATGTTGCTATGTGAGCCCATTACTGTTCTTAATTTCATAAAACCATTTTTTTTTGTTAAAGGGAGGTGACTCATTCAAGAAGGAGGATTGTGTATATACAATGAAAGAACAAGGAAAGGCTGAGCCATGGGCATGGGGAAAATGCTTCCAAGAACTTGTACATGTAGCCTACTCTAAGTGCTTCTATAACTCAAGAAACAAACAAGGCATAAAGTCTACTAAAACCAGAAAACAAAGGTAGTATCAACAGGCACATGACAAAGTACTCACTGTTGCTAATCACTGGCTAAAAACTGGAGCCACAAGTCGCAACTTTGCACACTGACGTGACAAAAGTTAACACTTTAGCTCCCTGGTGTGAGTCTCCTGGGACTAAAACAACAAAGTGTCCTAAGTGTTGGAGTTTGAACATCAAAACACTACTTTTACATAGTTCTGGCATCCGGAAGCCTAAGGACAAATATCAGCAGGGTTGGTTCCATCTGAGGCCTGTGAGGGATTGCCCTAGCTTTTCCTATTTTCCAGCAACCTTTGGTGTTGCTTGGTTATAGATATACAACCCTAATTTCCACCTTCAGGTCCAAAGTCACTGTTCCTGTATCTACATCTGTCTCTGGACTCAAATTTCCACATTTTATAAGGGCAAAGTCATGGTAAGAGCTCACACCAGTTTCTTTATCTTCCCTAACCATTTCTTCAATGAGCCAATTTCTTTTTCCATAAAAGGTCACATCCTAAGCTATGTTTTAGAATCCTAGCACCTTTGAGGGGTTTAAAATCTGCACAATGTACATGAGTATGTAGTATGATCAGACTTTTTTATACTTTTTAGAGAAAATACAAAATGGAAATACAATTTTGGAAAATACTTGTACAAGTTTTTACAAAAGGGAACATTTGTTTATCTTATGATACAGCAAGTCTACGCCCGGATATTTACTCACAGGTTTGCTGAATAAATGAATGCCAATCTGTGAGATCCAACTGTTAAATTTCCACAGATATTGTGTTTTACAAGAGAAAGAAAAATTCTGACCCACAAAGCATGATTGGTTTGGAGCTGTTTGCATCTACAATGACACATACCCGTGGCTCCAGGCAGGAGACCCCATCTCCGCAACACTTAGGACACTACAGAGTGATGACTGTCTTCAAAATACGGCAATGGTCTCCATCCAGAATCTGGGATTGGATAATCTGAGAAAGGAAGGTGTCATTATTTCTTTTGTGGGCTATTCTTGGAATTCATATATGCCCACTTCCACCATTAGAAATAATCTATTCATTCCATCTCATATTCAGGGGACATAGACCCATATGACAAGGAGTCTTGAATAACTGGGGATAAAATTTAAAGCTTCTATATCATTCTTGTCTTCTCTGATGAAGACTATATGCTTAATTGTTAGAGAGCAAATGGCAAATAACACCATGCATTAAAAAATTATCTTCTTTATTCTAAAAAACATAAATTTAGAACTGAAGCAAATGTCATTTGAAAATAAAAATCTCTTTTAAAATGGTTATAATAGTGACAAATATCATAAGCCCAAATTAGAGTTGACCTGTGAACCAATGAAGATCAATGAGGGAAAATGTAAGATATAGCACCCATCTGAAAGGCGTGTGCATACTAAATCCACAGCTGAAGAGGTACCATTTTTTTGAATCTCAGTGGCTATAAAGCATGTGGTATTCTATAGAGCAAAGACTAATACACAATAGGTGTTTATGAGATCTGACAAAAAAGAATGGTAGCTAAAATTTAGCTTTTGCAACTTTGGAATGGCCACTGGGAACTAGAGACAGGGACTGTTACCATGATGTCCAAATTATAAACAGAAACTACAACAAAATAACAAAAGACACTGTCGCTTTGTCATTGTCTCAGCAGGTGCGCTACACTAAGAAGCCTGCTCGCATTCGCAAGTGGATAAAAGGTAAATGTCCTGGCTAGAGAGTCCAGAGTGTGTGGTTTTCCTATTTAAAGACTGTGGTGCTAATAGGACTCCTGAATAGAGAAGCCAATGCTAATTCTATTGGTGTGGGTTTTTTACATCAGCAGTTCAGGGTGGACTTAAAATAAAGCAGCCAGAATTCAATTACCTTTAGAAAACAAAACACACACACACACACACACACACACACACACACACACACACACACACACCATGCTGTTAGCACTAAATATAAGCAAAAAACTGTATTAGTTGTTTGAACTGTAACCACCCAAGTAATAGTGGTAAATTAAGCTAATGTGATTAAAACTATTTTAGAAGCTGTCAATTTTTATGCAATTAAACAATGACCATATTCACAGAAAGGACAGAAATTGCACCTTGACATTGAGGCTTCTGTTGGCTTTTCATTTCATTAACATAATGAGTGCATTGTATTGACAGGCCGAATGGGGTTTTAGGATTGCCAGCTCCAAAGAATAGTGAAGCCAGTAATTTATCACTTACATATTAAGGCCATTAGTAGTTCTAGGACACACACACACACACACACACACACACACCAGAAATGGGTGTTTAAGGTTTCTGTAATTGGGATACAGGCAAACCTTCCTACCTGGAGAAATGAACAATTATTTTAATGGATTCTTTCTGAAATAACTTTTAAAAATCCCTTCTTATAGAATTCTTACATAATAGAAGGTACTGGTTTCAACATTTCTGAATTTTCTGGAATTCTCTGAACAGATTAGAGAGGAATCATTTCTTTGATGTAAGTTGGCTTCATTTTGAAGAGTTGAAATAAGCTAACACACTCAAAAGATTTCTTAAAGGCTAAGACCATTGGAGCAACATAATAAAATAAATCCAAGTAAGAAAAACTCAATAATTCAGTGCAAAGCTCTGCTCTCGGACAAGTTGCCCTTTGGTAACTCGGGCCTCCTGAAAAAGGCAAGCGGCAGTGCTAACACAGCCTCCACTCAGCAGGGAAAGTGATGGGGCTGGGAGACATGAATAATTTACTAACCGAAGCCTTTGGGGAGAGAAGAGCATTTTAAATAAGAGAATTAGAAGAACAAGAAAACACAACAAAGCAACGCAAAACAAAACCCCCAGGTGTGCAGAATGCTTGCCATTCTCTTTCCCACTTGCTTTTTATCTTGGCTAGCTGCACAATTATTTATTATAAAAAATCCCACAAGAATTCAATTTCCTAGACATTTTTTTTCTCCAGAAAAAAAAAAGGCGAGAGTAGTTGAAAACTTAGGAGGGGACTCAGTGGTTAAATTTCAGAGGAACAATTGGGTTTTCAGATATCCTGCATTCTGGTATCACCAATGTGCACATTCTAAGGTTTCCACCACTCCTCCCAAGAGGGTGGGAAAGAGCGACGTTTCTCCTCCCTTACATGTCTACAGGGATCATTGAACGGTTTTCTCCCTTTCTTTTTCTTTTTGTAAAACTCCTTTTCCTTTTGAAACACTTCTGCTGGTCAGCACATTGTTCCACACACAAATCTCTGTGTCCAAGAGAGCTTCAGCAGCAATGTTTTAACTGAGGCAGAAAAGGGAAGGCTGGCTCATTAGGGTTGTCAGACCACAGGCAGGAAGGACTGACTGTCCTCCGAACTGCCCACCATCCTGTCAGCATGTTCTCAATGAAGGAGCATGATGCAATAAACAGTGGGGCGGACAATCCTGGGGAGATGACACCCGAAGAGTGGAGAGAGAGAGAGAGAGAGAGAGAGAGAGAGAGAGAGAGAGAGAGAGAGAGTTCTGGTTTATGTAAAAATATCTGGTGGTTATTGCCAATAATGACAATAAAAAATGGGACAGGGAAGCCTGTGATGTCTTAATGAGCATTTGCAAACCACTCTAAAAACTCATCTGAATTTATGCTGGTGTGTCTTAAGAGCTGTAAGAGCCATGATTAATAGGGATTCTAATAAAGTTGAATTGTATTCAGTTTTGAAAAAACAATGCCATATATTTGAAAAAATTATTGTCTGTCTTTTCTGTAGAAGACAAATTTAGATTTGGCTAAAGATTAAGGAAAAAGAGGCAAAATAGAAAATGTACCTCACAGGCTATTAGAACATTGTAAATTATATCTAGACTCCAAATTACTAAAGCTGGCACATAAACACAAAGACTTTGTAGATATGTGTGGGAAACAGTGATTTTTTTTAACTACAAATAAATAAATATATAGATACATGATTATATTTCCCATTAAATTTATGCAAAGGAATCAGCCTAGCCCCCCAAAATAGCTTTGTAACTTCAGCAGCAAAATAAAAGAAATCTCTCCAGATGTGCTGGCACATGTCTGTAATGCACTAAGGAGGTGGAACCAGGAGGATTAGCAGTTCAAGGCTATCCTCAGCTATAGAGTGAATCACAAGCCAGCCTGGGCTGCCTGAGACCTTGTTGCAAATGAAAAAAAAAGGTTCAATCCAATCCAAACACTATACCATTACATATCCCTGCCCCAACCCTGTTTTCAATGGCCTTATTTAGTTCATTTGTCTCCTATGATGTCATACATAATAGAGAATTTTGAGTCCCTAGTATGTGCAAGGTTCCATGCCAATCATAAGTAATATCATGGAGAATAAATTGGACATAGTTCCTGATCACAAGGAGCTTACATTTTAGTGAAGTAGCAAGCAATCAGCCAACCCCACAGAAAATGGAAGGGAGGAAGGAAGAAAGGAAGGGAGGGAGGGAGGGAGGGAGGGAGGGAGGGAGAGAGGAAGAAGACTGTGTATGTGTCCTGAGGGAAATGGGATGTATCTGAGAAGGAGACCTATTTTGGGCAAGATGATCAGGGATGGTCCCTCAGTGACACAGGGATTGGGGAATCTCTCTGGAAGAAGGAACAGTAGGTGAGGATGAAGAGAGCCAGTAGAGACAGCTGTAAATCAAGTGGTGGTGGTCTTTGCTAGGAGAGGGGAGGGATTGGAGTCAAGCAAGGACTTATATCTAGTTTGCATGGAGAAGACTTACCCTAGAATATGCAAATATGCAGATAGGATTGATCAGGTAGAAAAACTGATGCTAGAGAGAGTGAAGGTCTGGTGGGGGTGGGGCTTGGAGGGAGGCAGCTGGGGCAGCAAAACAGCGCAGCTGGTAAGACGGAGAGAAGATGAAGGACTGAGTGGGGTGGACATCATCCAGTAGGATCCAGGTGTGAGCAGAGCAGCTCGAACTGAAAGAAGGGGATTTGAATCTGATGGTTGTACTTGCCCCAAGAATTACAAGAAGAGGGCATCAGTTGTGATGGGCTGTGGAGGACAGATAGGGAGAGATGTGAAATCACAGAGCTGCCCCGATAAACAAGGAGATGTTGTCGTTACAGCTATTTGTTCATCCCCTGGCTAAAGACTTAATGCACAATGAGCCTCTAACTGGAAAAAAAAAAAAAAAAAAAAGGTACTGTGGTGGTATTCTAATTGTACTGAAATGTGATTTTGATTGTATGTTAATAAATAAAGTTGTCCGGGGGTCAGAGCTATTAGAGCCATAGCAAGAGTGTGGCGGTGGTGGCACACGCCTTTAATCCCATAGATCTCTGTGTGTTCAGGGATATAGCCAGCATTGGAGACATATGCCTTTAAGACCTAGGGGGCTGTACATTCAGACAGTGACGAGGCCGTCACATGTTTGGGTTTACAACCAATGAGAAGGCAGAACAACAAAACTAAAAAAAACGAACCGAGAGGAAGTAGGTCTCTTTTCGCGAAGCTGGGACAGCAGGAGGAAGGGTGAGATTTTAGCTCTGAGCTCTGACCTCTCGGCTTTCTCTTTTATATTGTTTCTGTGTTTCTTATTTAATAAGACGGTTGGTTACATCTACAAGGTACCTTCTTAGAAGCCTTGATTGGGGGCTTATCTGCAGATTCAGTATAGAAATGATGACCTGTTTCTTGATTCAGTTTAAGCTCTAGACCTTTTTCTCTCTTGTGTTGGGTTTTAAATTCCAAGAATTTGGGAAATAAAGAGACATAGGATGATTGTGACAAAATTTTTACTAAGACATGTGGGCTGGTTTCATCTCAACTTGACACATCTGAGAGGTCTGAACCTCGATTGAGAAACTGCCTTCAGAAGACTCGGCTACAGGCAAGGCTGCTGTGCATTTTCTTAATCAGTGATTGATGTGGGAAGGACCAACCCATCCCATCGTGTTTGGTGGCCCTCTTAGGCTGAGTGTGTTATAGGAAAGCAGGCAGTTGGTCTAAAGTTCATGGGGTGCCACTAGCTTGGCTCGGTTGTCTCTGTAGGTTTCCCCATCATGATCCTGATATCCCTTGCTCATAGAATCTCTATTCTCTCTCTTTGACTGACTAACAGCTGTGGAGCCTCCATGGGGACTGGACTAGGCCCTCTGCATAAGCGAGACAGTTGTGTAGCTTGATCTGCTTCAGCCCCTACCCCACCACCCCTCCCCACCCCACCCCACCCCTGGCAGTAGGATTAGAATCCATCCCTGGTGCTTGGCTGACATTTTGGAGCCCACTACCTATGGTGGGACACCTTGCACAGCCTTGATGCAGGGGGAGGGGCTTGGACTTGCCTCAACCATACCAAGCTTTGCTGACTCCCAGGGGAGGGAGGCCTTACCTTTTTGAGGAGGAAATAACAGGTGGGTTGGGAGGGAAGACTGAGGGGGGTGGGAGGAGGGAAGAGAGGAGGAATCTGTGGTTGGTATGTAAAATGAATAAAAAATTTCTTAATAAAGAAAACAACAACAACAAAGAAAGCAAGCTGAGAAGGCCAGTAAGCAGCAGCCTCCATGGCCTCTGCATTAGTTCCTGCCTCCAGGTTCCTGCTCTCTTTGAGCTCCTGCCCTGTCTTCCTTTCATGATGAACTGTGATATGGTAGAGAAAGCAAAATAAACCTCTTTCTTCGCAACTGGCTTTTGTTCATGGCGTTCCTTCACAGCAATAGAAATAATAACAAAGACAAGAGAAAATTAA